AACTTCCTCAGCTTCATCTGGTTTGCCCACTCGGCATAATCCATCTATAAGAGCACTGTAAACACACTATTAGGCTTACAGCCTTTTTTGATCATTTCCTTCCACAGGTTCATTGCGTCCTCAGACTTCCCCTCCTTAAACATCCACTAATAGACTAATAAATATACTCATTCAAACGAAACGTCTTTCCTCCATAGAAACCAACACACGAACACCATCAGCAGCTCTCCCTTGCTTCACTAACCCATCAACTATCGTCCCATATGTAACTTCATTAGGCACACATTTATTTGACACCCATCTGATCCAAAAGACAACCGCCTTATCTAACTTTCCCTTAAGACACAAACCATGAATAAGCGTATTATATGTCACCTCATTGGGGGCACATCCTTTGAGAAGCATGTTATCCACAATTTTGGTTGCACGTGCCAGTCACCCTTCTTGCACAACCCATTAATCAAACATTGAACGTAACAGGACTAGGAAGCACCCTCAATTTGCATCTCATCCAACACAAAACAGCCTCATCAGTTCTGTTTTCCTTGCACAACCCATCCATCAATGTACAATGTATACACATCCTGTACACATTTCTTAACCGGCATCTCCGTAAACACCTCAATTGCTTTATCAACAATCCCAATTTACACATATTCTTGATAACCAAATTAAAACTCAAGACATTAGGCAAAATATTCATGCTTTTATCATTAACAACACAATTGTAAAACTCCAAAGCGCGAGAATAAAAGCCCTCTCGTATATTCACATTAAGAACCGAATTAAACGACCTAACAGTTCTTTTACACTGAATTCATCAACCATTCTATAAAACAAATCAACAACTTCATCCACCAAATGTGCTTTACCATAACCTTAAACATCAGAATAAAACTCTTCTCCAAACCCACTCTCTTTTCGCATCTCATTTGATACAAAACCCTCTCTGCCAAAGTACCCAGAATTCGCATAGTTTTCAATGAGTGAATAAAAGGTTGAATCACCTTGCTTATAAGAACCACACTTTTGGACCAGACTGAAAGATATCAGATATGGTTTCTCAACTCATAATATTTTCAGGTTCAGATTCCACACGTTTGTTTGATGGAATTGAACTAAGAACAGAAAAGAAACAATGAAAGGACTTACTTGGGTTTTGATTGAGGAGATCTCCTGATGATGAATTGAAAAGGAGGGTTTTCGAGTGATAAAGAGACCATTTGGCATGGGTACAAAAGGATCTCCTGTTTAAGGGTTGTGGAAGGTTTATGTAGTGAAGTTGGGGTTTTACAAGGGTTTTTGTTCAATTTTATTAAGCTCAAGTTCAGAGAAAGACATAAACCTACTCAAACTCAGCTGTGATGACAACGAGCTCAAGTGGTTAGCTGCTTCCTTACGGGACCGGTACTGTTCCTGGGTCAGTTCAACGTCAGTAAATCACGCATCCACGTTTAACTAGCCCAGTAATACAGATGCAGTAGGAATGTGCATTCTTTTTTTTTTCTTTTCTTTTTTTTTTTGATAATTTCATTAATTTAATTTTTTTAACGGATGACTTTTGCGAAGGTTATTTTATATTTTGATAGTGTCATTTTTTTTTTAATATATTGTAAGAGAGTTACATTTATGAAGAAAAAAAATTAATTGTAACAAATATGTAAACTTCTATATGTCTTCATTCTCTTTATTTTCTTCTTTTATTCTCATTATTATTTCATTTTTGTTAATATAATTGGGATGCTTAATTAAAAAAAAAATTATGAAATATATTTTGTAATTTTCTCTCATCTTGGCAGATATCAATTTAGAAATTAATCTCTTTAACACTAATAATTTATTCAAATTTTTTATTCGAAAAAAAATGAGGTGCCATCCACACCATTTTTTTTGTACTTAATTGACTTTTTTTTCATAATATTTATAGTTATAATATATATTTTGCAATATGTCAATTTGTGTGAGTACATATTGTTACGGAATTCACATTGGAGACGTATTGAAGAGGTCTTTCACATTGGAGACGTATTGAAGGGTCTTGATCTTATAAGAGAGAGTCTTTCTATTTAATAGATTAATTTTTTAAGTGTAAAACTATTAATCCGTGATAAGTATTTTAAAAATTTGATTCGGTGTCTCGCCCCCCCCACCTACAAATTTCGTAACTTCAAGATTTGTAGTGAAATATAAAAGATTTTTATGAGTAAACACTTTTCCCACCTAAGGTTTGACGAATCCCAGTTAGTACCACTGGTTTCATTTATTCCAGATTCCCACCCTTAAAGTAACAGTGTTATGATTTTTAGGGTTTGAGGGTACAATTACCATAATGCCCTTAACCCTAAATTAATTAAAATTATATTTTAACCCCAAAATAGTAGAATTACAAACTTACCATTTTATTTTCAAATTATATCAAAAACACCCGGTCACTATACACCTCACCGGAAATAGCCCGATCTGGGCTGTTTCCGACGACGTCGAACCCCCTGGTCACCTCCATCACCTTCCCCATAGTCCGTCTCAAAACCCCTCTGGTTCCCGACTCATTTGCCCCTCCAATCGCCGGCACCGTTAGGCTTAGGGTTTCGGTGTTCTTCATGGTTCCGGTCGATTCTGCGGTGAAAATCCAATTGGACACCACCAATGCAACCACCGTCCCCAAATTTATAAAACCCCTATGTCCCCAGCAATCGTTCGTCGTCATTCGCCAGCAAGAGTTCGTGTTCTCGGCCGTTTTTTCGTTGCCGTGGCCGAGATCGGCGAGTGATGAGGGGTTGTGAATGGTATGTTTTTGTAGGGGAGGAGTGGGGTTCAATGGTGGTGATTAGGTGTGATTTTGGTGGAAGAATCGCCAGAAAAGAGCGAAAAACGTCGGGAACAACGGCTGCTAACGTGCGCCGGAGGACTGTTAGAGGCGTGGTCTGCTAACGTGCGAAGCCCATGTTAAAATGACCAATTTATCCCTTTCCGTTCATCAAACGTTTTTTCGTCACTTTAAAGGTGGGAATCTGGAATAAATGAAACCAGTGGTACTAACTTGGGATTTCGTCAAACCTTGGGTGGGAACATGTCGTTTACTCTAAATGAATTTCAAAACTAATATATCTACGTCCATATGTTTTTTTACCAATATAAATTCAATGAAATTCACATTATTGGTAAATTATAGTGGTTCACTTGATTATGATATATAATTAATTTGATTAACCTTTTACACATACATTATTAATAACATATGAAATTATTCACGAGGTATATCAAAAGCAAATCGATGTGATTTAGCATAACTCGTTTACATCGCCGAAAGAAATATCTGAGTTAGCTCTTTGAAATCATTAATTTCTGAACTTTCTAGATTCTGAAATCCTGGTCTTGACCAGTTTATGAAACCCAGAAACTTTGGCTCCGTTTGGTTCATAATTTTGTGTTTTTGGGAAAAGTTTTTTGAAAAAAGTTAAAAAAAGTTGAATTGAGCGGGTATTACGATGTAGGATTTACAAATTAATAAAATACCCTCTATGTTTGTTTTTTTACAAAACACCCCTTATAATAAAACATTAAAAGTTAATAAAAACACCCCCAATCCACCCTCAAATACGGACAGTCGGCCACCACCATCGAAGGGTGGCCGGAGTCGCCGTAACAAAAACATTAAAAATATTTAGGGATATTTAATTGAATTAACAAATTTAGGAGGTTTAAAAAATATTGAATAAAGTTAAATAATATTGTGAGTTTTTGAATATTTTACTGTTTAACTTTTTTGGGAATACTAAAAGTAGTATTCTCAAAATCCAACCAAACGAAGCCTTTGATTCTCCAGAGTTTAGTGTGTTGGAGTCAGTTGGAGTTCTTCGCATCTTTCTATTTTTAATGAGCGAAGCATTGGAAGACTCGAGAATGAAACCTCCGGCTCGCATCCAAATGAGTGGAGATGTCAATCTGTCAAACAACACAGAAAGGAAGGCAGAAAGAAAGAGCTCTCCCACAGGCATGGTTATTGCATGTCAAAAGAAAAAGATTCAGATGGATTATCAGTTTTCACAGGTGACCCGATACCGAGACCTCCCGGGGCCTCAAAGATCCACCCCATGAGCACCCAGTTCCCTAACCGGCAGGATGCCATCCCAGGTGGTGACCCGTTATAGAGACCTCCTCCCGGGGCATTAGAGATTCCCACCGTGAGCACCACCCTCCCTAACCGGGAGGATGTCCTCCTAGGTGGAGACCCATTTACGGAGGCTCGTGATCTTTTGGCACACAAAGCCCTTAAAAGGGTGGCAAGGGACCAATCTGAGTGATGAATCTTCTGTTGACGGCCGCGAAGGGTTGTTAGCCAAGGTTCCTGCTATTCCCATCGAAGACGTCAAGGTGGACCTCCACTATAATATGGAGTGGCCCATACTTCAGTCCAAGTCCTCTCGTCCACCGGATCCGTCGACGCCCAAAGGTAAGAAGAGTAAGAAGAAAGGACAGCGATCATAGCTTCTTGTTCCTTTACTTTATCGTAGAGTTTGCATGCTCTCTTTGGGCGTTTGTGCCTCTTTCTGTGATTTTGTTTCCGAGCCTGGCAGCCTGCGTGCTCCTGTGTAGGTGTCTATGCGTTTTTTATTTGAGCCTGTGTGCTCTTAAGACAGCAGCGTGTGTGCCTTCGTTGTTTCTGTTTGTTTTTAGCCTACAGACCATTCGTGTTACTTTGTAACCTCCTTCTTTAAGAGAGAGCCCATGACTTTGTCTTTGTTGCTTCAATGGTAAGAATATCTCAGAATTGTACATCAATGGAAACTATAACTTATTGTATGATTTAAAGTTCTTATAAATTATAGTTGTTCTAGTTGTATGCCTTATCAATAAACTATCATTTACTTTAGCAATGCTTCATTATATGATAATTTACTTTGAAGCATGCTTTTAATATATTATATGAAAAGGTTAAGCTATAAAACAAAGACTCAAGTAAGAGAGACATTTCTAGTTCACCTAAACAAGAAGCAAGAGGTTGAATTAAATTCTTGAATAGATAGGCAAGCCGTTCCTGATTCCAGCACCAGAAGAGTCAACAGAACTTACTCTGGAGACAACATCATTTATTCTAAAACTAAAATAAGTATATCAAACTCTTATCACCAAATTTTCATCCCAAATGATGTTACTTCTTATGCAGTATTAACTTGTAAATGATAAACCAGTATGATAAAAGATACAGGAATACCACATAAAATGATGCATCACTTAGAATGAGAAAATGTAGGATAAGACTTCGGATGTATGCTGTTATTTTAAGACTAAAACTACAACAGCGAACAGATATGCCACAGAGTTCAAGCAGCCGCTTCAGCAGCAGATGAAACTTTCCTGAGGACAAAAACAGGATCCCCAACTTTAACCACATTTCCCCTTCCTTTAGTGAGGCTGTCCTTGCAGACTAAGTTCTGGCCAAAGTAAATCTGCAAGACAACATTATTCATTTTTCATTTGCATATGTGAAGATTATGGTTTGAAAATTTTGGATTCACGGCTTCTCGGTTCTCGGTTCTCACCTTTCCCTGCTGTTTTCGGTTCGGGCGCAACACTTTGTCTGATCTAATTTTCATCAGAGTTTCACTTGGTTCAGAACCAGCAATCCCAGTGTCCTGATTTATAGTTGGTACCTGGAAAACATTGTTTGCAAATAAGCTTGGAATGAGCACCAGGTCAGAAAAATAATATCACAAAATAATTTAATAGGATCTGTACTAATAAAATTTTGTTGGTAAATTCAATTTTTTTCATTTATTATAGAGGGTGTTTGAAAAGGAAACATAAACTGTAATTTTTATCAGATTCTTGCAACGGATAACTACGGTGATTATACTCTTCAAACAGGACTTTGTCGTGGTTTTTACAGCTAAACATCCGAAACCTGCTTGGATTCAACTGACTGATCAACATGTAAGCGCTTATATTACAAATTTACATAATAGCTTTCATATATTATCTAATCAATAGATAAGTACAACAGTTATTTAGCCGACGCGACCACTAAAGTGGAAAGTTTTCAGGAACAAGCAGAAAGGCAACTTTTTAGTTTTTACCTTACAACGGGAGCATAACTTGACACCTTCAAATGTGAACTTGTTAATCCGGACCTCAGTCCATAAGTCCTCAGAAAATGGTTCGCAACCATCGACAAGGATGCTGTCACATACAAGTATACATGAGATATATAGACTAAATACGAGTACGGGAAACAAATGGAAATCTCAAAATAACAAGACAAATCTGATAACATTTGTATCCAAGGCAATAATGAGTATGGGCTCCTAGGGCAGGCTATAATGTAACATCAGCAATTGGCAATGAAAAGTCCATCTAGAAAATAAATTTGGGAGCTTTTTAGATGATAAACAGAGATGGTATGATCCGAAAGCATACTTGGGTCTAAAACGGTTGACTGGAACAGGCTCATTGAGAAGCTTATTTAGTGCATCCAAAGACCCCTGCAAAAGATAATTCTTTTTATAAGTTCAAGCTCTGAGATATCAAGTCACAAAAAGGACAATGTATATTACATGTTTCTCAAGACTAACCTGAGACAAAAGCATATATGGATACTGGTCGGAAAACATTAGATTGTGTCCCCGAGCATATTCTGGATCCACAGGCCTAGTTTCTGATGCTGCAGTAGCACAAAATGCAGCCAAATTATCAACCATCAAAATCAAAGTTAAAATATGTAAGACTATACAAATTCATCTGCTAAAAAATTAGTTATGCTCATGACCAGTATTCCCTACATTACATATATTTTTCTCCAGGAATTCCCTCTTAAAGTTTTCTGATTTTTACTACCGCTCATAGTGCAGCCAACATGCTGTACTTATGAAATGTGCCAAAAACCAAATTCAACCTGCATTAAAACGAACTAGCCGGCTAGTTTTCCCAAGAAATTTTGTAAACCAGTTTGCTGCTTCAGCTCCTTCATCCAATGCAGAGCCAGACCACTCCCACAAGGAAACACCATCTGTTACATCATCTGGTTTACTCAGCGAAATCTTAAGCACATCCATCCCTGGAGCCTTTATTACTGTAAAAGAAAGTGAGTCAAGTTACATTCGAAAATCTCATAAACCATATTAAAAAGAAACGGGAAGCACATGGAATGACAATTTTGAAGATAAATCGAAAGGCAATTAAAGATACCTAAACCATGCCCGTCAATGTAAAATTTGAACTGGAAAAGGCTTCATACCCAAAATAAGAGATTAATGATTTAAGTCACAGTTAAAAAGGCTAAGCATAACACAATCCTGAGCACCATGACAACTTGCACTGTATATATAGGAAATACTATTTCTAGTCTCATTTACTTTAACTCAAACATTTTTGCAATGATGTTTACTAACACTATTCAGATTATCACAGTAGTAAAGAAACGATATCCAATCAGATGAAACTTCAATCTATATGGAAAAGATCTCTCATGCAAATCTTTTAAAATTTAAGTTCAGGATGACTACTCGTGCAAGCATACCATGATGGTATTGACAACAACTTCTGTTACTGATGAACTAATCTTCAGTTTAGACAAGCAAGTCGAAGAGAGAAATAATAAGAAACCACAACATCACTTCAAATAAAAAAGGAGGGTATTGAACTCCATGAACATAATATTTTTTAAAAAGAAGGAAAAAAAGGAAAAGTAAAAGTAAAATAGAAATGAAAAATGATGTTACCCATATATGAGCCCCCAGTAGGCTCCCATCCTTCTAAAAATGCCTCCTTTGGAAGCTCAACCTCAACAAGAGCGAGCTTTGGTTCGTTTCTTTGTGTAACTGCCCTGCCTTTTTGATTAACTATTATCCACTGCCTATCCCACCGAAATCCTGCAGTATATCCAAACACGGAAATTGAAGTTAACTTTGCATGTTGAACAACTGAACCACAAATGAATTGATTTACTAGGAGCTAGAATTATTCAAAACCATGACAGTAACACAATTATTCAGATAGACCTTTATACAATCGAACGCTTAAATTCACTCTATGACAAACACAACTAAATAAAACTGGCTAACTGCTCTAGTGATCAAGTACAAAACCTAAAAACAAAAACATTAAAAGAACATCATCAAAACAATTTATATAAATTATTCAATTCCAGAAGCTATTCAGAGAAATTCACATGATTACTCAAAATTTGACAAAACAAGAAAGAAAAGCATAAATGAGAATTACAAGGGTTCGACATCAATATTTATCAACAGGTCTGTCACATAACATGAATATAATTTAAGGTCTAAGGGATCCTGTCGAACTGAGAATTCAAAAGTCAAACGGAAGTAAATCAATTGAACAGAGATTCATGTGATTGACTGAATTAATAGGCAAGATTGATAAGGCAAGTGATAAATTTAAACATGAAGCCTCTAGCTCTGGTATCATGCAAGCATAAGCTACAAAGGTTCAACATTAACTATTAATATTCAAATCTTATGCAGATAAGTTAGTCATCAAATTAAACTTACTTTTGGTTAAGAAAGCCAAGAAATCTAATAAGAGCCGCACATATAAATCACCATACAGAAGATTTTCACGCATAATCCAATTTAAGAGTGAAAAAAAAAAAAAAAAAAAAATTCAATTGGGTTACAAATAAAAACTATAAAAAAAATTACATGAAAAAGAGCAAAAGATGGAAATAAGAAAAATATACGAAAGTGATTATGAGCAGTCAAAAGAGTTGGTATGAGTTTAATTACCAGTAGGAGTGAAATCATCCTACTGAAGATTTTACTTTTAATGCACAAACCAATTGAACACTCTGAGGAAAATCAACTNGCGTTTTGATTTGGGACCATTGACAACATAAATTTTTTAAATTTTAAATAATTTATTTAAGTATTAATGTATTATTATTATTATTATTTCATTATTTTGATAGTTATATGCATGTAAGGGTATTTTCTAAAAAGAAAATTCAATATAAGGCTTAATAACAAATTTAACCTTTTAAATAAAAATAAAAATAAAAGAATATTTAAACTTCAATAATACTATGCTTACTCACGATCTTATTAACCATCTTACTATCTTGTGTAAATATAAAGTATAGTACGGGTACCATATGTAATTTTCACAAAGGATAGTAAGATGGTTAGTAAGATCGTGAGTAAACATAGCATTACTCTTTAAACTTTCACCTTTGAGGGAATGTTTGAATCATATAATGTTTTATTATAAGGGAATGTTATATTAATGGAAAGATAGATCACTTTGAAGATTATTAAGAATGTTTAAAAGTTGTGTTTGGTTGGAAGGATTGTGGGTGAATCAAGGATTGTTTTTGAGTGTTTTCTTTTCTGTCTAATCATTAAAAACATGGATGTGTATGCTATATAGATTATTAAATTGCTTTTTTTTTTAAATATTAATATAATATTATTTTTTGAATCATTTCTTTTAACCTCTTACATTTGAAATTTTGTTAAAACACCTCAGTCATATAAAACTTTAATTTATAGCAAAATCATCCCACCCACCTCAAACCAATACTGACAGCCAACCATCACCGCTGATAGTTGATGGAATGGCGCACGACTGGTCGTGTATGGCCGACCATACGCTGTTAAAGCCATTTCGACCATAGATCACATATCTATTGCCATTTCATGGCCAAAGATGTGGCCGTGAAAAGGCCAGATCTTTGGCTATGAAACAGTCGAATCTGTAGCCATGTGAAAAGGCTTTATCGACGCACGATTGACTAAATCCTGTCGGTTGTGCACTATTATGGTGACTGTCGCCGATGATCGACGGTGGTGAGTAATGGCCGACGGTAGTCTTGGATGACTGGGGGTATTTTGTTAACTTTTAAACTTTTTTGTGACTAGAGTGTTTTAGCTAATTTCTTAATGTAGGGGGGCTAGGTAATAGTTATTTGGTAGACATTTGAGGACAATTGTGTCAGAATGATATTTAATTAAGGGAAAAATAGATATAAAAATAAAAATTATCCGGTAATGTTTTAATCATAAGGGTGGGGGAGGGTATCGGACTACCTTCCACATTACCAATAATAAATACTATTTACAATAAAAGATTTTCGTAATATTTTATTACTTACAAACCAAACATCAGAATCTTGTAAAATAAACGAAGATTACCCACGTTATCTTATATGATCTCGATCCAAGCACACCCTGAGATTTGAAGTATATTTACATCTTGCTCCGGGATTAAGTGATATAAACTCTTTTGTTCTGTCAGATAACGGACGTTAGTGTACTAAAATTTGAGTTTTCTGTGAAAAGTCTGTTCTACCCTCCTTTATATTATCAAATAACAAATACTATGAAAATTAAATAAAGGGCAATGCTACAGTTATTGTGTACCAAATTTGTGTACTGAATAACGTGATAAAATCTTAACTGTTGATTAATATTAAGTTAAAATTAATTAACGGTTAAGATTTTGTCACGTCATTCAGTGCATTACCGTCGATGACTGTATTATTTTCCTTAAATAAAACATCCATTACTTTCCCTCTCTCCATCTCACCGCCACATCCCTCTTCCCACTCAACTCTCTCGCCGCAAACAATACTAAACGCCGCCACCCCCACTGCACAGCTCCTCCACACTCGGATTGACGGTGGTTTTCATGGTTTTTTTTCCATTTTGTGTTGATTTGTGAAGATAGAATTTTTTGTGGGTTACTTGTTTGAAACTTCCATTGTTGGTGGGGAACTTTTGTCTTTGTGGGATTTGTTTTGGAAGATTTCCAGTGATTAACTTGGTTGATTGGGTTTTTCTGGTTAGTGGTGGTGATGCGGTGGCTACAGGTGGCGGGGTTGAGTTGACTGGGTCCACTGGGAATTCTCAATTTCTTTTTCAAACTTCTATTTGACATTTTGTTAGTTTTTAATTTTATTTTAGAAATTGTNCCATAAAAGTGTTAAAACTAAGATTGATATTGCCGTATTTTTCAAAACATAGTATTAACAATACACCGTATTAAACCCGTATATACCCGTACCATATTTTTTCCATATCTGAATTTTATAGCCAAATTTTTATAAACGTATTTTTTACCGTTTGTCATATTATACCCGTAAAATTCCTGTACCTTTTTTTTTTTTCCATACCCGTATTTACTAACTAGGACTACGTGATCAGATTTTCAACAAACTAACCCGCCCTCCCCCCCCCCCCCCCCCCCCCCCCCCCCCCCCCCCCCCCCCCCCCCCCCCCCCCCCCCCCCCCCCCCCCCCCCCGGTCCAAATGGACGGCCGTCCACAATGAATGGACAAGCATCCATTAAGTATGGACGCCCATCCACAATGAAGGGACGGCCGTCCACAAGTTAGGGACGGCCGTCCAGTATTAAAATTTTTTTTTTATTACGAATTACTCTTGGACGGGCGTCCATTACTTACGGACGCCCGTCCATAATAAAAGGACGACCATCCACAAATTGTGGACGGGCGTCCCCAAAGAATTTTTTTTTTTTTTTTCATATTTGGGTGAAGGACGGGTGTCCATTATTTGTGGACGGCCGTCCATAACGGATGGACGGTCGTCCCTAAGGTTTTACAAAAATTTTAATTGTATTTTAATCAGGGATAGGCGTCCTTTAAATGGGGACGCCCATCCCTTGTATATGGACGTACGTCCATATAATATGGACGGACGTCCATGTGAGTAAACGGCCATCCAAATTTGATGGACAGGAATCCCAAATGTTTTACAAATTTTTTAATTGTATTTTAATCAGGGACGGGCGTCCTTTAAATGGGGACGTATGTCCCTTGCATATGGACACCCGTCCATATAATATGAACGGGCATCCATGTAAGTGAACGGCCATCCAAATTTGATGGATGGCCGTTCACTAGAAAAAGTTGTAAAAAAATGGAGACGCGCGTTACACGTAGGCCGGTACAGAAATTCGGTGCTACTTTTTTGGTGTCTGTAGTGTTATTGGTGGCGTTTTATCTAGAAAAAGATTAATAAATCCTTTTATGAAATTATTTTATTTATTGATTAATCTTATATTTCAGGTTGTATTGTAACACTAATTTTTTACATAGATTTGTGAGACAAAGTTCTTGATTTAATATAATTTAATGGATTAATAGAAAGTTAAAATTTGGTTGCATTTAATATCAAACTTATCAAGTTTTAAATTACTAAATAATCATAGTTAAATATTATATTTGAGTCTGGAGACTATAATTTGAATATCATTTATATATTGTATATTTGTGTTATTGGTTAATTGAATACTTTGCNAGACAAAATGCTCTGAAACCGACAACACGAATGGTTTCTAGGGCATACACTAATATACACTAACAGTTGGGAACTTTGATGTACCGAACTGGAATGTTGTCTGGGACATCGGAGTCCAGCGAAGAGGCTATTTTTGTCAAAGCATCCGCGACAGAGTTACTGTCTATCGGGATTCAATTGATAACATAATGCTTGAAAGGCTCGAGTGCGGCCTTAGCTTTCCTCAGATAGTTGATCATATTCTCTTTTTTAGCTTGATATTCTCTTAGGATCTGATTAACAACTAGCGGGGAGTCGCTATAGATGTCGATCATTTCCGACCCTATTTCTCTTGCTAGTCGCAGACCGACAAGTAGCGCTTTATATTCAGCCTCATTATTCATAGCTTTGAATCTGAACCTAAGAATCCCATGAATTTGAGTCCCTTCGAGACTAAGGAGTATAAGACCGACTCCGACTCTTTTTTTGTTCGAAGACCCATCAACATAAAGCCTTTAAATTGATAAGTTTCGAACAGTTTTCTAGACAACTTTGCGGGCTGGCTGTTAGGGTTCTCGATCTGGCTAATAAGAGAACTCCAAAATAAAGTCAGCAACATCCTACCCTTTTACTGCTTTCTTCGGTCTGTAATACAGATCGAACTAGCTTAATTCCATGGCCCATTTAAGCAACTTACCCGAAGCCTTCAGCTTCTAAAGAACTTGTCTGAGTGGGTAGCTAGTCAGAACATGGATGGTATAAGCATGGAAATAAGGTCACAGCTTCTTGGAAGCAATCAGCAAGACATAGGCTAATCGTTTCATCTCTGGGTACCGCATCTCGGCATCTAGAAGTCACTTGCTTATATAATACACTAGCCATTGAACTATGCCCTCTTCTCGGATGAGAGTTATGCTAACCACATACTGAGAGACGGACAGGTAGATAAATAAGATTTCCTTGGGAAGAGGCTTGGATAGAAGAGGCGACTTTCCAAGATGTTCTTTTATGCTTTGGAAGGCTCACTCACATTCTAGAGTTCATTCAAACTTCTTGTTAGCCCTGAGTATATTAAAGAACGACAAGTAATGATTTGTTGCTCTCGATATGAAGTAACCGAGAGCCACTATCTTCCTATTCAAGCTTTGAACTTGCTTTCGATTAGCTGGACTTTTCATATCTAGGAGAGCTTGGATCTTTTCGGGGTTGATCTCGATCCCCCGGTGGTTAACCATGTGCCCCGGGAATTCCCCTAAAAATACTCCAAATGAACACTTTAAAGGATTAAGCTTCATTCTATACCTTCGGAGTACGTCAAACATCTCAGTGAGATGTGCTATATGATCTGAAGCAACATGAGACTTAACCAGCATGTTATTGACATAGACTTTTATTGATTTTTCGATCTATTCGGAAAACATACGGCTAACCAAATGCTGGTAGGTTGCCCCAGCGTTCTTTAGATCGAAGGGCATGACCTTATAATAGTACAGTCTCTGATTTGTGATGAACGAGGTATGCTCCTCGTCAAGCTTATACATCGATCTGATTATATCCTGTGTAGGCATCCATGAAGCTTAAAAGCTCGTGTCTAAAGGTAGCGTTGACAAGCTGATCGATCTTGGGCAAAGGGAAATTGTCCTTTGATAGGATTTGTTGATATCAGAGAAATCAACGCAAGTTCACCATTTGCCATTGGGTTTCTTCACCAAAACCGGATTGATGACCTAACTCGGGTAATGAGCTTCTCAAATAAACCCGTTTGAAAGGAGTTTATCCATCTTAACTTCAAGAGCAGCATAACGCTTCGGGTTCATGGCTCTTCTTTTCTAGTGAACCGGCTTGACTACACTATCGATGTAGAGGGCATGACATATTATATATGGGTTGATCCCGACCATATTAGCATGAGTCCATGCAAAAAAATGATATTATGTTTGAGGAAGCTCATTAAATCTACGGCAAGCTGAGGGTTGAGAGTACTCTCGATTCTCAACACTCACGTCTACTCATTCTAGTCGACAGCTACCTCAAACAGAGACTTAACCAGCCCACTATGGGAATACTCTTCTTGAACACAAGGATATATGCAATCTTCCACTAGACCCAACTATGGCTCGAACCTACTGATCGCTATTGCCTGCTCAGGAATGCCCACCTGCTTCCCTTTCCCTTTCCCTTTACATGTCATCTGCATTACCCTTACATAGTAGTTACGAGATTCGCTCTAAGACCCTTTCATTTCTCCACACTTCGTCGAAGTGGGAATCTTCATCTTTAGATGACAAATTAAGGTGACGGCATTGAAACTTCATAGTAGAGGTCATCCCGAAATGCCATTAAAAGCAGACAGATAGTCTATCACTAAGAATTTTGTCATCTTGATCACTTCATTGGTCTCACCCAAAGTGACGAGAAGTGTGATCATTCCTTTAGGAATCAGGTGATTCTTGGTAAAAACATATAAATGGATAGAGGCAGGCTTTAAATCTGCCTCGTCCAATTGTATTTCCTCAAAAGCCCGCTGAAATAAGATGTTCACAGCTCTGCCATTGACCACAAGCATCCTATGGACTTCGCATGGACCTATTTCAGACGCAATGACAAGTGCATCCTCATGGGGATGATGTAATCGCACCGCTTTTTTCTCCAAAAAAGTAATCTCTTCTTCCCTGCGAACCTTAGTTGGTCACAACACTGTGCTCATCACACTCACAGGGTCATGGCGAGCTTCTCTAGCATACCTTTCTTGGGCACTTCGAGAATTTCCTACGAGGTGTAGTCCTCCAAAGATGATCCCTAGAAGGTAGAGACCCTTACGATCACTATGTTTCTTCCCCTGTTCCTCTTAATCCTTCTCCCGAACGGGAGTCGGACCATCGACATACTCTTTGAAGTGCCCCTGCTTGATGAGGTCTTCAATTGCTTGCTTGAGAGCTCGGCACTCATCGATGTGATGCCCATTATCCCAATGATAACGACAATATTTCTTGTTTTTTCTTACCCAAGAAGGATTGTTCATAAGCGCCGACTCTCTGAGCAGACTAACCTCTTCTGACTTGTCCAGAATAGCCAATACTGATGCGTTCAGAGGAGTATACTGATTCTTGTTGCAATCGTAATGATGAACCTAGGCATAGGATTTTTTGGGCTTAAACCTCTACTTCTTTCCCTTCCGCTGATCGTCATTAGCCCACTTGTGATCAACTCTTCTACTACCCTCCACCTAGTAAAGAGCACTAGTCAAAGGGCTGGGGCCATGGTGATTGAGAGCAGCCATGGAATTCTCTATTCAGAGGTACTTCTCTATAAGGTCGTCGAAGCGGGTGAGGGAAACGTCATCTTCGGATTACAGCTTTTTCCACAAGTCGATCTGCGAGCAAACTCCCACACTAATGAGAGTCCGAATAGATTCTTCAAGTGTATTAGCCACCTTGTGCAGCTCCCTGTGAAACCTATCAATGTAGGACTTGAGGGATTCATTCTTCTCCTATCGTATGTTACTTAGATAGCTCAACAGCATTGAGAACTCCTTATACACTAAAAAGTGTCTTAGGAATAACGAGCTCATCTGCTACCATGAGTTAATAGATCTTGGCGAAAGTGATCTAAACTAGCACTTGGCATGGACAGTCAGGATCACTACCAAACAGCGACATTTGGCCAAGCTGAAAACTTGGTGAATCTCCATGAGGTCGTTAAACTCATAGAGGTGATCCTGCAGATCAAATTCCTATCGAACGCTCGTATATCGTGCATTATAAACCTTGATGGGAGAGAAGCAGCTAACACTTTTGGGGAAAAGGGAGATGCCTCAACGACTTGCCCACGCTCATTTTTGCTGAGCTTTAAGCTAATCTAGAGCTCGCTGTTACTCCTCAATTTGAGGCAGCAGAGCTACCTGAGGATCACTTTTTGCAACGTGGGTTCGACCTTCATAATTACGGTTAAGGAAAGACTATAGATCGGACTCTTCCTTTCCTCAGCTAGAGGCTTCAATATATCTTGACACACGCTAACTAGAGTCGCTGAAGGCAATGAAAGGTTTGGGGAGTTAGCTCGACCTCTGCGGTGGTCAGAACCAACCCGCGGTTGCTTGGAGTTTCCCTGCCTTGCACTCTTGCAGAGATTCCCATACGATATGGTATGGGACGGTTCATGGTACGACATACTACCAAGTCGAAAAGCCATAGGTATTCTACCTACTTCACGACCACTATTTGTTGGTCCCTTAGAGCCCTTTGGCCTACTATTCGCCACTTGCTTTCCTTTACCCTTACACCCCGTAGTGCATGCGGCATGGGTGTTTGCTCGTTTCTGCGCTTTAGCGCGACTTACAGACATTTTTGGTGGTGGCACTGCCTTGTCGAACTCAGGCGGTACAACTTGATCCAAACAATCTAACTTTTGGTTAACCATTTGGAGAGTATTGTTGAACCTCTCCAGGTAATCTATCATAGCTGGGTCGAGCTGTGAGCTCAAGGGAATGTCCACCGTGGTACTATGTTGGATAGGGGCACTTTGGGAGAAGTGTCATCCTGTACCCAAGGGCCCTCCTCGTTACTAGGGCTAGCTTGCTTGGTTTCGAAGCCATGGGCCATTTGCTATCAAATAGAATCGATCAATCAGAGATTCCTGATGAAGAGCAGATACTAAATCAAGCCCTCCTTCTAGTGCCAAACTATTGATGCTTGATTTTGACACCAACTACTCGCACGTGTAAAGCACTAAGCGGACTTAGAAATTACACATGAATGGAAAAAGTAAATAAATAAACGGGAGACGATTTTTAAAGTAGTTCGGATGCTCAAAGAAAATCCTACATCCACTGTCTTTTTATAAATGAAATATTACAATCAGGTCGCAAGTAGCAATTAAAGAAATAGAAATACAGAGAGGGAGAGAGTGTGTTTATCTTATCAGAAGTCGAATCTCAATGATGAGAGGGGAGCTCTCTATTTATAGTAAGAGGTTTCTAGGTAATGATTACGAGTCTGCCAGTGGGAAGATGTCATACAGTTCCTACCTTGCTTCTCATTGGCTGGTTGCATGGTAGATATCCTTAAATCACGTAAAGCTTGGGCAAATGGATGACTCCCAGCCACTTACTAGCCAGGCCTTTACCTACCAAGTTAATGACAGCCTTGCTTCTTCTATCCTTGGATGATGTGGCAACGCCTGGGCGGCATAATGCCTTCTTAAACTCTAATTGCTGATGTAAGCCTACGTCAGCCCTGATTTTTTAGGCATAACAAGTTTTGTAGGAGAACATGGTGAGGAGGTTTAGCAAAGAAGTTACAGGAGATGGAGCAAGCAAGATTTCTTACCAGAAGAATCCTTTCAAAGCTGGGATAAATACCCTTTTGTGTTGTCCCAGACACATTTTTGGTTCAAGGATTGTCTCATAAGCAGGTTAGATGATGCCAATAAGATTGATGTGCTTTGGAAACAAAGTGAGAATGCATGAAACGTTGCCTAACCTGGTGAAATCTCAACTGGTTTGGATTTGGTGCAGTTATTGGAGCTGGTATCTTTGTGCTTACTAGACAAGAAGCTAATGGAGATGCTGGACCAGGCATTATTTAATCCTATGTTGCTTCTAGTGTTTGTGCAACGCTCTCTCTCTTCTACTACATGAAATTCTCAATAGAGATCTCAATAGCAGGTGGATCATTTGCTTACTTAAGAATTGAATTACAAGACTTTGCGGCGTTCATCATAGCTGGAAACATACTTCTTGAAAGCATTTTAGGAAGTGCAGCAATTGCAAGATCATGGACTTCTTATTTCACAACTATTTTGAACAGTAAAACCAACTCATTAAGGATCCACACTAATTTCACGGATGGGTACATCCTAGACCCAATAGTTGTTGGAATCCTTGTAATTGCAGCAGTAATCTGATATAGGGAAAATGATGTTAAATTATGATTTAATTAGGATTTACTTTTGTTTCCATTTCTTTATTTGATTTTCTTATTTATTCAGAGTTTCATATTAGGAATTCAAGTAGTTTTCTATTTTAATTAGGAGTTTAGTTGATTTAGGAAGTTTTAATTTAGTTAAATTTTACTTTCTTAGATTTCTTGCTTTAATTAGTTTCCGTGTTTAAGTAGGATTTTATTTCCTTGTTTAATTAAAGTCTTGTTAGGGTTGGCTATAACCACCCTATATAAACATATTATTTGTTTCTCTTGAAGAGATAGAATACGGAATGAATTATTCAGATTTAAGGCTTAAGTTTCTGTAATTGAGACTTATTTATCAGTTATAAATGTATAGTCGAATGCTAGCCTTGTTGTTACGCTAAGTCACTATATCAGTTGCTATCACGGACAGCTTGTCGACAGACCAGTTTTTGCAAATAGGTGTAGACAACAAGTCTATATGAAGAGTCAGACAAAGAAGATGATTATTATGTAGAACTTGAAAGGAACGTTGGGTAGAGCAGAAATCGGTTAGTATTAGAGCAGGTGAATTCATCTGATCTAATGGCAAGTGATGAAGGTGTAGGCGGTGACGGTTCTCATGATGAAGACCAGGGAGCTGAGACCTCGCAAGGGGTGGCATTGACGGCTTTGGAGCAACGAATGGATCTCAAATTTTAGAGTTTGGAACGACGCTTTGAAGAAATTGCAAATCGACTTGATGCTCTGAGCAAAGATGCCAACAGAAACCGGAATGACGAGAGGCAACATCCCAGAGATGATGTGGCTCAGGGACAGCCTGTTGACAAACCAGTTTTTGCAAATAGGTTTAGACAACAAGTCTACATGGAAGATTTGGATGAAAAAGATGATTACTTTGCATATTTTGGGAGGCACGTTGTATATGGATGAAGTGATTATGGGGATAGAGATACCAACGAGTTCAAATTAAAGGTAGATATTACTTGCTTTAATGGTAATTTAAATATTGAAGACTTTATGGATTGGATTGCGAAAATAGATAGGTTCTTCGAATACATGGAGATTCCAGAAGGAAGAAAGGTGAGACTTGTTGCGTGTAGATTGAAGGGTGGAGCTTCTACATGGTGGGAAAGATTACAATCCATAAAATTTCGCGAGGGGAAAGCACCAGTTAGAACCTAGTACAGGATGAAACAGTTGTAACAAAAGGATTTTCTTCCTCCTGATTATGAGCAGATCTTGTTTTAGCAATACCAAAGATGCCATCAAGGTTAGAGATCTGTCCGAAAATATATTGCTAAAATATTCACAGTTGTTACTCCACCTTGACTATAATGAACATCCACATAGAGTAGCTTTAAGATTCTTTAATGGGCTGAATGTAAACATACAAGCTCAAATTGTTTTATGACCTGACCATAAATTGCTTGATGTTCTTCAATTAGCCTTTGATGTAGAATCACAATTAAGAATTAAAAGAAGAATTCTTCTTCAGAGAATACATGTCTTGCCAATTATGGAAAAAGACAAGAAGTATAAAGCACTTCCTAAAGAAATTCTTAAAGCCAAGGAAGATCATGAGATGTTACAAATTGAGGATCACACATCAAAGGAGATTGAACATAAAGTAGACATTGAAGCTAAATGAGTTCTCCAAGAAGAGAAGATTGAACAAGCGCAAAAGCAAACTATCCTAAAGGAGAAGCTTGAGCGAAAGCAAGTTGTCCTAAAGGAGAAGTTTGAGCAAGAAGAACACATTCAAGTTAAGGATCAAAAGGATGAAACACCGATGACATTCGATTTCAACTTGAAGATTATAGTGCATGACTACTCTCCTAGGTAGATCAATGACAAGGGATATTTATTTACTCCAAATGAGGATTTATTACTCTACTTCGGGTATCACCCACCAGATTGAAACTTGACGATGGGTTTATTTTTAAGTGGGGGACTCTGATATAGGGAAAATAGTTTTAAATTAGAATTTAATTAGGATTTACTTTTGTTTCTATTTCTTTATTTGATTTTCTTATTTATTTAAGTTTTTATATTAGCAATTCAAGTAGTTTTATATTTTAATTAGGAGTTTAGTAGATTTAAGAAATTTTAATTTAGTTAAATTTTACTTTCTTATTTTATAATTACTCAACAGTTGGGATTTCTTGTTTTAATTAGTTTTCGTGTTTAAGTATGATTTTATTTCCTTGTTTAATTAGTCTCTTGTTAGGATTGCCTGTAACCACCCTATATAAACATACTATTCGTTTCTTTTGAAGAGATAAAATATGGAATGAATTATTGAGATTTTCTTTTAGATTTAAGGTTCACATTTCTGTGATTGAGACTTGTTTATCAGTTCTAAAATTATAATCGAGTGTTAGCTTTATTATTACGCTAACTCGTTGTGTCACAATTGCAATGATTAGTGCGAGGAAAACTTCACAACTAAATTGGATAGCATCTGCAGTTGATAGCATAGTAATTTATTTGTGATTATTGCAGGGTTTGCTCATGCCGACACTTATAATATGACACCCTTTCTGCCTTTTGGGGCTGCGGGTGTCTTCAGGGAAGCTGCAATTGTTTGCTTTGCTTATGGAGGATTTGACAATATTGCCACCATGGCAGAAGAAACAAAAAACCCATCAAGAGATATACCAATTGGACTGCTTGGATCAATGTCAATAATCACAGTAATATATTGCTGAATGGCACTTTCACTAACCATGATGCAGAAATACAGAGACATAGATCTAGATGCAGCTTATCCAATTGAATTTCAGACTGTTCTTCTGGTAGGGGCACTCGGTCAGGCACGGTATACTACTCACATTGCACGAGCCCACATGATCCCACCATGGTTTGCACTTGTTCATCCCAAGACTGGAACACCAATAAATGCCACACTTCTTATTGCCATTTTAGCTGCTGTCCTTGCGTTCTTTTCAAGCTTGGGTATCCTCTCATCCTTTTTATCTGTAAGCACACTCTTTATCTTCATGATGATGGCTGTTGCACTTCTCATGAGGAGATACTATACGCGAGAAATCACACCACAACTGCACCTCTTGAAGCTTGTTATCTTTCTGCTGATTATTATTGCTTCCTCAATCGGGACCTCAGCTTACTGGGGATCAAAGCCTGATGGTTGGGTTGGATATGTCATCAGACTTCCTCTTTGGTTCCTGGTAACTTCGGCAATACAATTGTTTCTACCTCAGCAGAGAACACCAGAAGTATGGGGAGTTCCACTAGTTCCATGGCTTCCATTGTTGTCAATTGCAACAAATATCTTTCTTATGGGATCTTTGGGACAGGATGCCTCTATAAAATTTGGGATCTGTATATACTGTAATGCTGGTTTACTATTTTCTCCTTCGTACCGAGACCCACCCACCCCTAATAATGACAACAATCAATAGCATTATGAGTTTACACTCAGAAGGGTTATTTTTCTGGCATAAAGTAATTTCAGTTTTAGCAGTTTGACCAAAAAAAGAAAAAAAATGAATGAAAGCTTAATTAAGGACAAAAGTATAACCCAACATTTGAAAGAAAACAGCACGCGACAGCCTTACCTAACGAATCAGCTATACAAGCTTCTCCAACATTTGTCAAGAGCTGCATGAAGAATTTTAGGCTTGCAAAAGTCTTGAACAATTTTTTCCCAAGTGGAGGCTTTTGGAGACAAAAATTTTTGCAGCATCACTTCTACAATCTTGTAAGCACCTAAATTTCTTTTTCTCTTAAAGAGCCGGACTACAAGCTCATCTAAAAACTCTCTCCCATCCTCAGGTGCATCTAACTCTTTCAAAGCTGTCAAGAAGATGTCGCATGTATATACGTCAAGGTCACAGCCCCAGTCCACCATACTATTTAAAAGATCAATGGCACCAGAGATGTTATTTTGCTTGCACAGAGCATTAAATAGGATGTTATAAGTGACAACATCAGGTTGAGATTCCGGCACCTGGCAAATCATCACATTGAAAAGTTTCAAAGCTTCTTCCAATGAGTCAGCATTGCATAGGCCATGAATCATTGAACTGTAAGCCACGTCATTAGGTTTACAGCCTCTGAAAAGCATTTGTGTCCACACCATGTTAACCTCACTGAGTTTCCCGTCCCTACAAAGTCCATTAATAAGCACAGTATAACAAACCGCATCGCATATAACGTTATTCTTTGCCATCTCATTCCAAATTTGAATAGCCTTAGCACTTTTACCACTCTCAAAGAAACCTTTCATCAAGGAGCTATAAGTAAAAGCATTCGGAAAGCAAGCCTTATTCGTCATTTCAAAAAGAAATTCCTCAGCTCCATCTGGTTTGCCCACTCGGCATAATCCATCTATAAGAGCACTGTAAACAACACTATTAGGCTTACAGCCTTTTTCGATCATTTCCTTCTACAGGTTCATTGCATCCTCAGACTTCCCCTCCTTAAACAATCCACTAATAAGACTCGAATAAATATACTCATTCAGGCGAAACTGTCTTTCCTCCATAGAAACCAACATATGAACACCATCAATGTCTCTCCCTTGCTTCCCTAACCCATGAATTATTGTCCCATATGTAATTTCGTTAAGCACACATTCATTTGACACCATCCGATCCAAAAGACTAATTGCCTTATCCATCTTCCCCTTAAGACACAAACCATGAAAGTCAGCCTTCTTGCACAGCCCATTAATCAAAAAATTGAACGTAACAGGACTAGGGAAGCAACCCTCAATTTGCATCTCATCCAATAGCAAAACAGCCTCTTCAGTTCTGTTTTCCTTGCACAACCCATCCATAAATGTACAATAAGTATACACATCTGGTACACATTTCTTAACCGGCATATCTCTAAACAACTCAATTGCTTTATCAACCAATCCCAATTTACACTTATTCTTGATAACCAAATTAAAACTCACTACATTAGGCGAAAAATTCATGCTTTTATCATTAACAACACAATTATAAAACTCTAAAGCGTGAGAATAAAAGCCCTCTAGTACCATCACATTAAGAACTGAATTAAACGACCTAACGGTTCTTTTACACTGAAATTCATCAACCATTCTATAAAATAAATCAACAACTTCATCCACCAAATGTGCTTCACCATAAGCCTTAAATATCAGAATAAAACTCTTCTCCCAAACCACTCTCTTTTCGCATCTCATTTGATACAAAACCCTCTCTAAAGCCCTAAGATCCCAGAATTCGCATAGTTTTCAATGAGTGAATAAAAGGTTGAATCACCTTGCTTATAAGAACCCAGTTTTGGACCAGACTTAACGATATGATCAAATATTGGTTTCTCAGACTCATATTTATTTTCAAGTTCAGAGTCCACACATTTGTTTGATGGAATTGAACTAAGAACAGAAAAGAAACAATGAAAAGACTTACTTGGGTTTTTGATTGAGGAGAAGCTCCTGATGACGGAGTTGAAAAGGAGGGTTTCGAGTGATAAAGAGAGCATTTTGGCATGGGTTCAAAAGGGTCTCTTGTTTAAGGGTTTTGGAACGTTTAATGCGGTGAAAGCCAGGGTAGAAACCTAACTCAAACTCGGCTGTGTTGTCATGGGCCGGTACTGTTACTGGGCCAAATTCAAGTGTCAGTGAACCGTTCATCCAACGGTTCAAACTAGCCCAGTAACATAACAGACCCAGTAGGAATTTTGCCTTCTTTTTTTTTTTTTAATCTTTTTTTATTTCTTTTTTTAATAATTTCATTAATTTAATTTTTTTTAATTGATGAATCTTTTTCCAAGGTTTACGTCATATTTTGTAGTGCCATTTAAATTTTTTTTCTTGTTTGTAAAATAATTATAACATTTATGAAAAAAAAATTTTAACTTGAAGCAAATAAAATAAACTTCTATTTTCTTCTCTTATTCTCATGTAATACTAATAACAGCTGAGTCTCGTTGTAATCATAATGTTGGGACCAGCTAAATTTATTATTATAAAGACTAAAGAGATTATAACTTAATAGAAGTATAGTTACAAGAGTTATTGTTTTGATTTAAAACTTATTGTATTCATTTCTTATTTTATAATTCATTATTTTAGTAACATTAGGATAATACGAAAATCGATATCAAAGAGTCATTGAAAAATTGGATGATCAGATTCGATAACTTCACTACACTAATCAAATGGATATCAATGTCTGCCTCAATCATCCAAATGAGCAATAAATCATGTATGCTTTAACTGAAGAAGAAATCGCTACTAGAATTAGACAAGAAGAGGAAGGAGATAATTTTGAGAATAATAGTATGGAAATATAAAAAGTTCCGTGCTAAGAAGTTCTAAACATACTTGAGAGCTAGAAATATTTTGGCTTTAACAAAAAGGCGCCCATGCTGACGACTTATTACATATCCGTAAGATAAAAAATGTGGTAACAATTCTACAGTATAAATCATTGTCCTAAATAATTTTAGATAAATATTTTATTTTATCTTAAACCTTTAATGTAACATAACATATATTTTTTTGCAATATACATATAATTATTTTTATATAGAGGCAAGTTCCTTAAGACAGGACCTAGAAAAATCATAACTTATTACAATATGATATTTATTCTCATTTATAACTAGCCTGAGTTGGTACCAAAAATTTTTATGACTATATAGAGGTTCTCATATAGAGTATCACTACAGAGAGGTTCTACTGTATTTCATTTTTATTCATTTAATTGGGATGCTTAATAAAACAAATAAATAAAATTATGAAATAATTATAATTTTCTCTCATCTTGGTATATATCAATTTAAGAAATTAGATCCTGTTAACAATTAACACTAATAATTTATTTAAAATTTTATTCAAAAAAAAATTGTAATGAAATATAAAAAGATTTTTTTTTAAATGAAATTCACAACTAATATATCTAAGTCCCTATGTTTTTTACCAATATAAATTCAAAGAAATTCACATTATTAATAGACTATTGTAGTGATGTGTGCGTGATTAGTGATAATCAGCAATGAATATAAATAAAATGAACTAAAGACAAAGAGATTTTTAAAGTTGTTCGGCCAAGTTAACAGCCTACATCCACTGTGTTTTTATATTTGCTGTGAGAGCTTACAATGCAATTCTTATCTGAAATTCGTGACCCCATCTTTATTGTCTAAGGGGGGTTTATATACAAAATTTGTACAAATGAAGCAATGAAATTCGAGGGATTAGAACTGATTTGAATCATAATTCCAATATCCTCGCGATTGGACGTTGTGATTGTGCAGTGATCACCGTTGATCTAGTCATTCCCGCAATATATGAGATCTGAAGTAATCTAGGGATTGATTAAATGATTCCTTGAATCGTTCGCGACTAGCTTATGTTGGGTCGAGTTATAACTGGACGAGTTTATGCTGGGTTGATCAATCGTAGTTGTCGAACTCATTCTAGATCAAGCTATATTCTCAAGTTAGCCCGAGCTTGGCTAAAAAACCATACACAACACCATGCAAGCATAAATATAATATGATATGTACGTCTCACCAAAGATGTAATTTTCTCAATTGGAGTCTTTCAATTGAGAATTCTTCTCTATTAATAATGTCGGCCATATTACTTCACCCTATTTACTCTTAGGACTTGACCAATAGATTTATAAATAGATGTATGTTAATTGCGTAATGGAGAAATTATGTCGTGGAAAAAATAATAAATACTTATAAGATATCTTAGGTCCGTTTGGTTTATTATTTTGGGTAGGATTTTGGTGATAGTATTGGATAGTTGAATAGGGGAGTATTACGAGATAAAATTTAAAAATTTATGAAAAAACCCCCAAGGTTTGCTAATTTAATAAATACCCCAATATATTAAAATATTGTAAAATGACAAAAACACCCTTAACACCCAAAGTGCCAGATTCTGGCCACCACTGCCGGAATCTGGTCGGAAAATTGGATAACCACAAAATCTGGTCGGATCTGGTGGGCATTCGATCGATATGGCCTTTTTCGGCCATATCCACCATGGATCTGGCCGAAAAAGGCCAAATCTAAGGCTGGATGTGGCCTTCGACGGCCGAAAAAGGCCAACTTTGGCCGTCAGCGACAGCCAAAGCTATGGCCGTCGTTGTCTGTCAACGATGGCCAAGATTTGGCCGGCGTTGACCATTTCTGGCCATTACCGGCCATTATCGATGCTCATGTGATTGTTGTGATAGATTCCGGCTACCACCGGCGGTGGTTGCTGGAATCTGGCAAGTATTGTGAGTGGGGGTGTTTCTGTTAGTTTTTAAACTTTTTTCTGGAGGGTATTTAATGAAATTAATAAACTTATGGGGTCTAGGAGTAATTAAAAAAATAGACTAATATTTTGGGAATAACGTGCCAAACAACATTTGAAGAATAGGATTGAGAATATGGATAAAAACAATAAGTCAAACGCACCCTTAATTAATAAAAGCTTTTTAAAATTTGAACCTCAACTCTTGTTAAGTCTTGTCAACAAGAGTGGATTGAAGTTTGAAAAAAAAAAAAAATCATTTTTAGATTTACTTAAGGAAAAACAATAATAATTAGCAACTAAGGGTTGAGTGGGGTCTTATGCCCCCACTGACCTTGGAAAAATTCAGTTAATCCCCTTTTATTTTGTATTTGTGAAAAGGAGTCTCCATTCTTCCATGAAACTAGTAGTCAAGTCTCTGTGCCACCACCGTCTACTTTTTCCATGTTTTGATATTTTTTATTTTTTATTTTTTATTTTTTACTTTTTACTTACACCAATAAATCATCCTCTTATTTTATGAAATCTTGTCACTGAATTCTTCATTTATTCAAAATATAAGTATTAATTAGTGCTTAAAATTTTAATTTTTTATGTCGATTTTCCGTACTTTTAGTCTACAATTTTTTAATATTCCAATTTTTTTCTTTAAATTTGTCCCTACTGAAACAAAATCCAGACTTTGTCACTAATTTTATTAGATTATGAAATAAATTCAAAGATATCGAACTTTACCATGGTAAAAATATTTTTTGGAAAGCAAAATGAAGCTAATACCAACTAGTTGTTGGAACATAGTAAGTATGCATGCATTTCTTAAAATTTGGTTTTGTTTTCTTATCTTTGGAAAATAATTCTTGAAAAATTATGCTTTTCTACTGTGGATAACGGCCCTAGAATATGATATGGAAGAAATATTTTCAGTTAAATCAGACGATTTTAGTTTTGGAGTTGTTCTACTAGAGACTATAAGTGGGAAAAAAAAATATTGGATTTCATGTTTCCAAACAGAGTGAAAGCCTCCTTACTTATGTATGTGACTCTCTCTGTCTCAATAGATGACTTACTTTAAACAGTAAATTCCTATGATTGATATACTATTAATTGTTAGGAGATCGCTCAGCGAAAAATATATATTTGAGATTTAATAATATAGGAATAAAATCACACCATACAAAGAGACATGGTATTTACGCAGTTCAACATAACCTGCCTATATCCATGAATGAGAGAACTTTTTTATAGTTTCATTAACACGATATACAAAAATATACAACACCATAAATCCAGTACATATTTAATAGAGAAACAATCAGTTTTTAACCATACTAAATCCAGTACCTAGAGCAAAAACAATTTCAGTTTCTAAGACACTCTACCCCTGTACTCATGATGTTTAATAACTTTTACATCAAATACTTTTTATTCTCACATTCTCTCATAACTTTGAATTGGTTCTCACTCTTATATTTATAAGTAGTATATGAAACATTATATTTCTAATAAGATTCATATTTTAATTTTTAATAAGACTCTATTAATTCTATTCATATTCACAATTGTATTTTTTATTAAATAGTTTTTTTTAAAGACATACAATTTTACATAGGAATAAATAAGAAAGCGAGCCAAAATATTTCAATATTAATCTTAGTTAATTTATTACTTTATAAAATGTTTTAGGCATGGAAGCTATGACGCGAAGGAAATGCATTAGAACTATTGGACCAATCATGTGTTTTAGTTGAATTATTGAAATTTATCTATATCAGATTATTATGCGTTCGGGAAGATTCAATGGACACTCACCTACCATATCATCTGTACTTATTATGTTAGTAAGTGATACTATAAGTGCACATGAATTCAGATTGTTTTGATAACCATTAGCTATCTTGCTTAATATTTGACTGTTTCCAGGTAATGAGAAGGCAAGTTTTGTAGTGTTTCTTGTTCCATTCATTAGTGCTATATTGTTATATAAGTTAAAGAAAATCTTGGATACCATAAATGTATTGAATTATCAACATATCTATTTAAATCTATAAATAATTATTTTTAAAATTACTAACAATAAGAAAAAACTATATTATACAAACGTAAGGATAACATGATATATCCGTCTCACTCTCGATTGTAGTTTTTAAATCTTGCATTCTTCAAATTCCTTGGAATTTTTTCAATATATCAGTATCTCACTTCCAAAGGAGAAATTGTGTAGGACCAAAGATCATAATATTG